AAAAAGGTTGACTACCCCTGGGCCTGATTGTGGCTTTCTGTTTAGCTTCTCTCCCCAACCCCCCGCCCACCGAAGACTTAATGCAACATTCATTCCTTCCCCCCCCTTCACAGGTTGGCCCGATTCCTGCGGAGGAGGAAGAGCCCCAATGAGGTGGAGGAGCAGGTCCTGTCCCACTACATCGCCCCTTCCTGTTTCGTCCTGGAGAACCTCCCAGGCTGTAGGATGGGAGGGGAAAGCTGGCCCAAGTAAGTGGGAGGGAGGGAGGGAGGCGAGGAGTCTTCCCCCACCCCTGTGTGCTATATTCCCTTACTCCTTCCTTGCAACCGGTACGTAGGACGAGAAGTATCCCATCCTACCCTCCATGGTAGCCAAAGATCAGGAGGAGGTAAAGCTTGGAGTCAGAGGTGGGATTCAGCCGTTTCGGTCCGGTTCGGGAAAACCGGATTTTAATTTTAATACGGTTCGCCGAACCGGTAGTTGCAAGGACTGGATAACCCGCCCCGCCCCACCCCTCCCCTCTAGGAGTCTCCATGCGGCCCATTTTGGTAAGTGCAGGGCCTGCGCGGATGCTCCGGGAGGGTGAAAAACGGGTCTGCTCTAGCTGCTCTCTTTTTTGCGGGGGGACAGAGGGGAGACCCATCCAACTGCCAACTCTTCCTTCCTGCTCGGCCCACAAGGAAGGCCGCTCCAACCTTTCTCTCTCTCTCCCTCCTGCAGCTGCATTGGCATCGGCAAAGCCATCCTGGCCCCGGCTCGCCACCTGACCAACCGGCTGATGGGCAAGCGAGCGAGGGGCTCTCTCAAAGTGAAGCGTCAGGAAGGGGCATTCCTGGAGGGACCCGCCCGGCTGTTTGACAAGTGTGTGCGGCTGGTGCGAGCCGCCCTCCAGCCGGCGCCCCGTTGAGCGAGGGCAGCCTTGACCATGGCACACAGGCGCGGGCGAGAGGGCCGAGCCCAGGAAGTGGACACAATGAAACCGAGCCATTCTCCCTCCCCCCGCGTGCGTTTGTGCGTTCCCAGTTTTTTTGAGCCGGAAGCAAATGCCCAGTGTGGACTTGAATGAGAAGCGGGCATCCGTGGCACAATGCCAGCTGGCCACCACCTGCTGCAAAGGAATTGGCCACAGCAGACTCTCAAAACTCTTCGGAGGTGGCTGATGGTACTGAGCCCCCAGAAAAGAGACAGCGAGAGGTGAAGCCACAGCCGGAGCTGATGCCCAGGTGATGCTCCTGCCCTCTCAAAGCAGGCGGCCTGACCAAGACTCCTCTTGCTGTGATGGGTAGGGGGTCTTCCACCCCACCCCTCCCCACCCATGCACTCCTTGCAAGGAAGGCACCTGTAATTTATTTGGGGGGGGGGGAGGGTGTCGGAAAGGGGGTATGAACAATGTCGTGAATAACATGTTTTCTAAACGTGGCTTGAGGTCTTTTTGGTTTGGGGTGGGGAAGGAAGGAAGGAAACCCAGAAGGAGGGGGAGGAGGAGGAGGGCCCTCCCCTCTTCTCCACCGCCCAACCAGAGGTGGGTTCCTACCAGTTTGGACCGGTTCAGCTGAGTAGGTAGTAACTCGGCCCGCCACGCACCCGAACTGGTTCTGTCAATGGGACCTTAGGCGCTGCTGTCCTGTTTTTTACTTCTGCGCGTCAAGCCTGAAACGCATCCCTGAGCAAACAGGCAGCAAAAGAAGCTGGAACCCACCCCTGCGCACAACGGCCCCTGCTGCGGAGAGGGCAGACGCAACCTCCTGGAGCATTTGTAAGGTGATTTATTGGGGTGTAAGAGAGAGAGGTAGGACAGATTGTCTCGACTCTGAACTCATCCCGGAGAAGGTCCCCAATCTGGAGAGAGAGACCAGCCCTCCCAGTTCCCTCCCCTCCCGCCTCCCCCGGCCAGAGTTCTACATTCCACGTCTTCAACCTTGGCTTGAAATTCCCCCACCCCCGGGCATGGCTGCCTGGGATTCTGCTGGGGTTCTCCATCACCATGAGCCCGACTGGGCCCTCGGCACTTACAACACGGAGGCCTCTGGAAATGGCCGCCTCCTTTTCTCCTCGTTGTGCTCCTTGCACTTCCGTCCTCCGGCTGGTCCTCCCTGTGAGGGGCCAAAACAGTGTTTAGGGGGAATCCAGTTTGGGGGTGCTGATCTCGGTGTTTGGTGGAAGAGCTGTCCCCGAGGAGGACGAGGGGGTGGGGAGCAACACGAGTGGGACGGGCCGTTGGTCGGGCTCCGGTGCAGACACGGGGCAATTGTGAAGCTGATGGGATGGGGTGGCACCACGGCAGCTCCGTGTCTGGGTCTGTGTCCCATTTGGGCAAGGCAGGCCAAGAGAGGAGTGGGCAAAGGGCATCGTCACACACGCTACACAGGATGACTGCCTGGTGGGATCCGCCGCCTTAATGTCTGGTATCGCAGCTGTGGTTATTATGGGGTGTCCCCTCTTGCGGGGACATACTAAAGAGGGCTGCAAGTCCCGCCGTAGGGCTGGTAGGGCTCATCCTTCGTCCGGGCAGACTCGGGTCAGTGCTGTCGCGTCGTGGGCCCATAACTCGGTCTACCGTCTCCAAGCGCACAGCGGGCATCAAACCCAGATTCCGCGGATCGGCCCGAGACAGTGGAGTCTCCTCGAAGCGCCAGCTTGTCCGGGCCTGGGATGTGTTGGAAGAGGAGGAGGAGGAGGAGGAAGAAGAGGAGGAGGAGGAGGCCTCGGCATTCTGCACCATCTCCCGCGACTTGGAGCGGTGCCGCGGGCTGTCCTTGGAAAACTGGATGCTGGGAATGTCTGCCTTCAGAATGGTGCTGTGGCGGCGTCCCTGGGGCGAGGGGCTGCGGCTGGCCCCCTGGTCGCGGCTGGAGGATCGCAAGAGCAGGCCCTGGAACTTGGCCAGGCTGGGGCTGCGGCTACGGTGACGGTGCATCTTGCCGGGGCTGGGGCTGCGGGATTTGGGGCCGAGGAGCACCAGCGTGCTGTCGTCGTCCTCTTCGGAGGTGCTGTTGGTGCTGTCCGTGGCACTGCTGACTTGCTCCGGGGTGGGCAGGGAAATCTAGGCCAGAAAATTGAGGGGAGGGGGAGAAGGGAAGTCAGTTTCCCTCAAATCACAAGCACTGTTCATACACGCGCTCTACATGGGGCTGCCCCTGAAGAGTGTTCGAAGACTGCAGTTGGTCCAGAATGCAGCCGCGTGAGCGATACTGGATGTACCTAGATACACCAATGTTACACCTATCCTCCGCGAGCTGCACTGGCTCCCCATTGGTCTCTGGACATGCTTCAAGGTGCTAG